CATTGGGTCGCACGGCAATGCGAAAATCGATTGGACAGGTGCCATTCTTGATTTTTTTGTTGAACTCCTGAATTGCGGCCCAAGTTGGACACAGTATACTACTATCCTACTATATATAATCCGCTAAGTATGTCTGTGTGTGGGTCAGTGTGTATGTGTGTCACGAAATTCATAACACCTGTCCCAGTGGCAGAGAAACGTTGATTCCAGGAAGTGATGGAGGGGGTGTGACGGGAACACCATTGGTGGGTGACAGGATGTGATATCAGTTGATAAGATTCGATAAGAGGCGTCCAAAGGGGATGGTCACCCAGTCCATAGTGCGGGCCACAGCAGCAGTGGGACGTTGGTTCCGAGCAGTGAAATAGGGGGTGGGACGAAAACATTATTGGTAGGTGACAGGATGTGATATCAGCTGATAAGATCTGATAATGGGCATTAGAAGGGAAGGACTACCAAATTCATAGTGCGGCTCACAGGAACAGTGGGTCCTTGGTGGTATAGGGTGCGGTGGGAACATTATTGGCGGGTGACAGAAAGTGATAACAGTTGATAAGATCCGATAAGGGGCCTCGGAAGGGGAGGGTCATCAAATTCGTAACGCAGGTTACAGCAACAGTGGGACCTCGGATCCGAGAGGTGATATAGGGTGATATGATAATATGGGACGGGAATATTATTGGCGGGTGACGGAAGTGATAGGAGCTGAAAGTGACAAGGTAACATGGGAAAATCCGCTTCACCGCTCACAACAACAATGCGATCGATATGACTCAAGTATAACGATCTCAGTGATTCCAACAGAACTCATTCCTCACTGCTTATTAGTAACGACATCATGTACGACCGCTAAGCCAGCTCTATTCCAAATGCATGGTTTGTTTACAGAGATGTTATGAACAGCAGCAACTGACTTTATCACTCTTACCACAATTATCTTCCATCAACAACCTTAGTGAGGGCCATAGCTTCCACTGCTGAATGCGGGAGTGCATTCCAAAGACGCTTCAAGAGGACAGAATGCATGAATCATAGGCTGCTTCAGCGGCCATCAGCCGACTGGTCAGCCGACAAGCCGATAGATATCAAATGTATCTGTGACGACCGGTTGAGAGTGTGGTTGCCTGCGCACTGAAACCGGATAAAAATAGGTGCCTCGGATTTGAGGGTACACTCAGTCCGCTGTAGGCGGTTATCACCCTACTACAAACTCGCCAGATGTTCCGCTTCTCCGACGCTTTTTTCCGGCCTTCAAACTCCTTCAGGACCTTGTTATGAAAATTTGTAGCAAGCACAGTTTACCTCAGTGGCGGTTCGCTCTCTTTGAGACAGAGCGCATCATTGGTTGGGGATTTCAGTCTGTACGACCCCCCCCCCCTCCGGCCCTCTGTCTCTCCTCACGAATCGAGCCGTCGAGCGAGGGGGGGGGAGGAAATCACGAAAAAAAATCAAGTCACCAAAACGTAAATACGATCGCCCCCCCCCTCTTCCCTTACAACGTCCGTGAAGCGAGAAAAATCAACTATCAAAATAAATTTTTCTCAGCCCAAATACGACCCCCTCTCCTGGCGGCCAAATACGACCCCCTTTATTGGGGATTCCCCAACAACGATGTGCCCTGTTTTGAGGATGTTTCCATTCTACTTTTTCTTCAAAGGAAAGAGCTCACGCAGTTCACTCACGGAGCTTATCCTACTTGTAATAGTGGTAAGAAGTGGTGAGGAATGTAGT